CTACTTTTTAAGAATTGTAATGTTGCGACGACATTTCAGTGGTTAATCTGTGTAACAACGCACTGTCCTACGTTTTGAGAATTGTAATGTTGCGACGACATTTCAGTGGTTAATCTGTGTAACAACTCACCGTCCTACGTTTTGAGAATTGTAATGTTGCGACGACATTTCAGTGGTTAATCTGTGTAACAGCTCACCGTCCTACGTTTTTAAGAATTGTCTCTCACCCCCACTCATAGTTAGAATGAATCTGATGTAAAAGCACAAACCTGCAATTAATATTTGCTTCCCCAACAACAGACTGATCCAGAAAAAAAAACGAAATCACACTATCACCCAGAACATTTTTGCTAACAAAGTAGTGATTTTATATATATATGTTAAAGATAATTTTTCACCAAAGTTGAAATTGACATTCGTTGATTGGCCAAAACTGCAGGCTGCAGCAGAGGGTATGGCCAATCAACGAATGCATCTGGCCTCTACATCACAGGCTTCCCTGATTGGCCAATCATTAGGCCTTCAATTTACAGATTCTCTTTTCAATTTCACTTTTGGTGAAACAGTAAAGAAATCTTTAGCCTACATATATAATTATTAAACAGTTGGTCCACTGTATAATATCGAATAATGAACTACGAGAAATGTCAGAACATATTATTAAGATAAATTAAAAATTATTCTACTGTAATCATTTACGAGGTGTGTACAGTTATTTTGAAGGTTGTGAAACAGAGATCTGAAAAGAAGATTAACACTGTATGTAGAGAAATTGAGCTGAACCACTTAGTTTTAAAATATGTGTACAATAACACTTGCATGCTCTACTCTTAGGACCCAAGACTAGCCGGGGGCTATGAGAATGTGCCCACAAGAGATATTCACATGAATCAAATTGGCTTCGAACAACATTGGCTCTACTTTCTCAGGGAGTACATCCGACCCGTTCAAGAAAAAGTGTTTACTGGCTACTTCCATGATGTGAGTTCTGTAAACATATTCTTACACTAAACATTGTCCATCCGTTGATTGTAAGTTTATAAATTCCATTCAATAACAGGTCTTTTTTCTAATAAAACATACGACATATTTCTTCCTAGTGTTTTACCTGCTCAGTGGACACAGATGGTTTCCTCGTAATTGTTCTCATGTTGTTCTTTTATATAATCAACAAATACGTGTAACGGTTAATGAAGCTATTTTCAACGGTTATTCCATTGTCTTTTAATAAAACATTACCTAAAAAAAGAATGGACGTCAAATCTTGAGTTATCATATGTTGGTTGACGTCAAAGCTATTTTTAATCTCCCTAAACACGTTTAATTTTTCTTTTATCGTCTCTAATCAATCAACAAAATAGAAGTATAAACTTCAAGTTCAGTTCACTTTCTTAACTTACTTAAGAAGCAGTAGTTTAAATGATTAACCTGATTCATTATTTCTCGTAATTACCATAAATAATACAAAAAATCCACTAATTAATATTTTAAAATCACACTCTCTAAGTCAACGTTTCCCAGAAACAATGAATATTTAAAAAGAAATTTAAAACACTACTAATTACAACTCTTTTTAGGTAAAGTTAGAGTATAGCCATATAAACACAAACACTCAAAAAATAGACAGTACTAAATAAAGTTGTTTACAGTTGGTCATTATATTGAATTTTGTATTCTAATATATTTTATTTTCATTGTGTTTTTTTAAGGCCATAGAGAACTGAACTGTTTTTCAGCAAACCGCTGGTTTGTTTGCTACACGAGTATACTGAGACAGTGTTCAAAATATGTTTGAATCCAATGTGCATGTTAATACCTTGTCTTGTTGTTCTGTAAGTTTCTTGTTCAGCATCCAATGTGCATGTTAATACTTTGTTGTGTTACTCTGTAAGTTTCGTGTTCAGTATCCATTGTGCATGTTAACGCCTTGTTGTGTTATCTTGTTTCTTGTTCAGTATCCATTGTGCATGTTAATGCCTTGTTGTGTTATCTTGTTTCTTGTTCAGCATCCAATGTGCATGTTAATACTTTGTTGTGTTACTCTGTAAGTTTCGTGTTCAGTATCCATTGTGCATGTTAATGCCTTGTTGTGTTATCTTGTTTCTTGTTCAGCATCCAATGTGCATGTTAATACTTTGTTGTGCTATTCTGTAAGTTTCTTGTTCAGTATCCAGTGTGCATGTTAACACGTTGTTGTATTATCTTGTTCAGCATCCAGTGTGCATGTTAACACCTTGTTGTGTTATCTTGTTCAGTATCCAGTGTGCATGTTAACACCTTGTTGTGTTATCTTGTTCAGTATCCAGTGTGCATGTTAACACATTGTTGTGTTTCTTGTTCAGTATCCAGTGTGCATGTTAACACATTGTTGTGTTATCTTGTTCAGCATCCAGTGTGCGTGTTAACACCTTGTTGTGTTATTCAGTAAGTTTCTTGTTCAGCACAGTTAGTAAATGCTCAAATGACTCCACAGTACCTTGAAATATTTGTTATTATGTAATATCTTTCCTTATATTTCCTTGTTATTATATAATACCTTTCCTTATATTTCCTCATTAGTATATAATATCTTTCCTCATATTTCCTTGTTATTACATAATACCTTTCCTTATATTTCCTTATTATTATATAATACCTTTCCTTGTATTTTATTGTTATTATATAATACCTTTCCTTATATTTCCGTATTATTATATAATACCTTTCCTTGTATTTCCTTGTTATTATATAATACCTTTCCTTATATTTCCTTATTATTACATAATACCTTTCCTTATATTTCCTTATTATTATATAATACCTTTCCTTGTATTTCCTTGTTATTATATAATACCTTTCCTTATATTTCCTTATTATTACATAATACCTTTCCTTATGCTTCCTTATTATTATATAATACCTTTCCTTGTATTTCCTTGTTATTATATAATACCTTTCCTTATATTTCCTTATTATTATATAATACCTTTCCTTATATTTCCTTATTATTATATAATACCTTTCCTTGTATTTCCTTGTTATTATATAATACCTTTCCTTATATTTCCTCATTAGTATATAATATCTTTCCTCATATTTCCTTGTTATTACATAATACCTTTCCTTATGCTTCCTTGTTATTATATAATACCTTTCCTTATATTTCCTTCTTATTATATAATACCTTTCCTTATATTTTCTTTGTTATTATATATTACCTTTCCTTATATTTCCTTGTTATTATATAATACCTTTTCTTATATTTCCAGCCTCCAAAAGCCTTGATGAACTTTGTTGTAAGATATCGCCCTGACGAACAACCTTTTCTTCGTCCTCACCATGATTCATCTACATACACTGTTAACATTGCCTTGAATCGCCCACACATTGATTACGAGGTGAGATTGTACTCTACATTTTTTGTAAATAATGTTCACAGAAGGAATTACAAGTAAAACTTTGGTCGGTCGACAGTCGCTAACATTACATTAACATTGATAAAACAAGTTTTTACACGTAATATTTTAACTAATATATAATCTTACCCAGTGTCTGTATGAACATGTTGACATAAAACACGTGTTTATTTATTTTACTTTCAGGGGGGAGGCTGCCGGTTCATCAGGTACAACTGTTCAATTCGAGAGATGAGGATGGGCTGGAGTCTGATCCATCCTGGCCGTCTAACCCATTATCATGAAGGATTGACAGTAGAAAAAGGAACTCGTTATATCATGGTCTCATTTGTAGATCCTTAACTGTGGTTTACTCCTACTCAAAGCCACCAGTTGTCAGGATCGTCTCCTATGTTGGCTATTTTAGAACAAGGACATACAGTATGCATGAAAGTACTACCTGTTACCCATCTAAATATATCATCTGTAATACAACTACCTATCTGCACATTTAGAAACAAGTATCTTTCCTTGTTAATTTCTCTATTTTTCCCTTTATCAAGTATAAACTTTGATAAAACAGGGAGATGGGATGACTTCCTAGAATAACATATACTTCCAAGAAATAATCCCCGTTCCCCTGTTTTATCGAAGGCTTAAGAAGTAGTCTTAGGTAGGAAGGTGTTTTAGTCAAAAACTTTGTTCTTCATATCTCAGAGAGAGAGACATCTATCAACAGCTTGTTACATATCAATACTGGAGTTAAAATTTAAAATCATGAAAAGACTAAAAACCTGTTTTACATTTATTTGTAGTAAACATTCGGTAAATTTGCAGTACTTATCCTTGGGTCACTAGAGGGACAGGTTTAATTTAAGCCCTAAATTTTCACATCCTTATGACTATGTCTGATAATCGGTATCTTTCTCCTTAAACATGAAATTCAGGTTATAACACCTTATATTTTTTTTAAACTTTCTTCCATTCATAATTATATAAAGAAAATAATTTGGGTAAAGTAATAGTTTAAACTTCATTCCCTGTAGATGAAGGAAATTAGAATTACGTGCTATAAACCTTTACGTCTCTACTTATTTAACACTACAACAAGGTGATCTGGTTCTCTTTAATCAACCAAAAACTTAAACATTCGTTATTCTGTAGCCATCCCTACGTCTTACAAGTACGTAACAGTATATGTATGTACAGAGTGTAATTATCCAAACTAAACACACATTTATGTATATATAACCTTTAAGAAGGTTATATATATGCCATATTTTACCAGTTTTACGAGGTTGCCTAAATAGTGACCAGTCGGTTTATGATTTCTTTATTCTAACCAATGTTGTTATGTAAATGTGCCAAATTGTATCTGTTGCATTAATCACGTTAAGCTAATCATAATGCTCAAAGAATAGTGAATTATGTCTAATTTCTGATCTAGTCTTACTTATATTAAATTAGATATGTTTTCAATTGTGTTTTTTTTTTTATTTTTTAAAT